CCCTCTACTACGTCCATTCTTCTCCTGGGACTCTCTGATGGGACGGCATCTCCCGGTTCCATTCGGCGGGGTTCCTGCTCGCGCGCCACTTCTTCATGGCCTCCGTTTTCCGCCGCCATGCACACCTCCAGGCGCTGGCCGCCACCTCCCCTGCTCCGCGTGGCCCCCCCCCGAGCTGCTGCTAGACGCCGCCTTCGTCGTCTGCGTCATGCGGAGCCCCCGGCGCCCCTGCATCTACGCCGGGAAAACGAGACCTATACGACCACCCTTCGGGTGATAGGGAGGTTGTGGGGGGAAGAGAGGGGGGGAACCAACATCTGACTCAACCGATCTCACTATCGATCTCACTCAGCGGGACACCACGGGACACCACGGGACACCACGGGACACTTGTCAATCTCACTATCGATCTCACTATTGATCTCACTCAACGGGACACCACGGGACACCACGGGCCACCACGGGACACCACGAGACACCGCGGGACACCTCTCGATCTCACTATCGGTCTAACTATCGATCTCACTCAGCGAAACAACACGTGAGACCTTGGGACACCACATCAATCTCACTAATCGATATCAACATCGATCTCACTCAACGGGACACCACGGGACACCTCGGGACACCTGTCGATCTCTCTATCGATCTCACTATCGATCTCACTCAGCGGGACACCACGTGACACCACGGGACACCACGGGGCACCACATCGATCTCAGTATCGATCTCACTATCGATCTCATTCAACGGGACACCACGGGACACCACGGGACACCACGGCACACCTGTCGATCTCACTATCGATCTCACTATCGATCTCACTCAACGGGACACCACGGGACACCACGGGACACCTCGGGGCACCACGTCGATCTCAGTATCGATCTCACTATCGATATCATGATCGATCTCACTCAACAGGACACCACGGGACACCGGCGGGACACCGCGGGGCACTGGCCGCCGGAGGAGTTACATTTGGTCCGGCCGCGGCCCAGCCACAGGAGGATTTCGGGACACCGGCGGGACGCCAGCGGGACACCGCGGGGCACCGGCCGCCGGAGGAGCTACATTTGGGGTGGCCGCGGCCCAGCCATAGGAGGATTTCCTCTCGCCCGCCCACGCAGCTTCGCCTCGCCCGCACGCACGCACGGCACGCACGACACGAACTCGAAGCCGAAATCGATTTCCCGGTACGGGGGGGTCTCCGTTTCACGTCGGACTCACCCCCCAACCTCCGATACTTCAAAGAGCGCCTGCGCAAGCACATCTACGCCTTCCACCACCCATACGCGACTCCCAGCAGCCGCATATGGAAGTTCTCAATCGCCAGGCTCACGGTGACGCACCACGTGCAGCGTCCTCCAGGCTCCAGGCTGTATCTACCCGTCGCCCGCTGCCCCGACGACTCCGTGGCCGTCGCCCTCGAGCAGCACCTCATCGCTACTGTGCACCCGCAACTCAAGGAGCCTTACGTCCACAAGCTCCAGGGCACGCACGCAGGATACCCAGCGCCAGGCGGCCACCTCCGCCTGCGCGCCGCGCCTCCAACAACCCCGGCGCGAATGGCCCAGATGCGGGCCCATGCTCAAAACGAGCGGCCGCGGGCCCAACCAGCCCGTCAGGCGCCAGACTCCCCGCGCGCCCCCGCGGCTAGTTCGGTCACCCGCTGGGCGTACCTCGCCTGCAACGCGCTGGCCGCCTGCGACGACTCCCACGGCCGCGCCGAGCTATACAGGCTCACCGCGGAAGAATGGTTCGCCGTCTGGCACCGGACCCGGAGGCGACACAAAGGCAACACCAGGGCAATTGGCCACAAGGAGCGGGACTCCGTCCGACGCTTCTCGCGATGGCCGCGGCCGCGATTAAGCGCGCAGGGAGCGTTCCCATGGCTCCTGGGGGGGGGCGTCCGCCGCATCTTCCATGACATCGCGGAGACACTTCCACTCGACGCGCGCCCTCGAGGCCAGACCCACATGCTGCCCATCATCCGTGACGCCACCGTCGCGCTGTCGCCCATCAGCCCCCTCACACTCCGATCTGCGCTGCAAAACGCACCCCGCTTCTATCGCCGCCTCAGGGAGCCTGCACCGCGTGCGAGCAAGTGCAATCTGCACCCGCACCTTCCCCGCTGCCCACCACCAGACGATGAGCTGCACGTCTTCGCGCCATAAGACACGTGGCCGGGGCCGCCAGAGCTCGCCCACCTACAGACCATGCCCTCGCACGCCTCCATTGCCCCTAGCAGGGAGCATTTCCTGCCCACGTGCCGCCAGCTTCTACGTCGCATCGTGGGCGCACTTCGCCTTACCTGCCCGCCAACATTCGTGGACTACTTTGCACCCACGACCGCATCATCCACTGACTTCGACGCGTTGACGTCCGGCATCGACTTCGAGCCCATCCCGCACTCGGCCATCAGCGCCGGCAGGTCCATCACCAGGGGCCTCGTTGTGGAAGAGGTCCAAAAAACCAAACACGTGCTTGTGGCAGAGTGCCCGCGCAGCGTGCAGCTCCTCTCATCGCACCTCTTCGGCACCGACGGGCAAAACCCGAAGTTCGAGTACTTCTGCCAGGTCTCCAGGCGGAGGTTGTCCTTCAGCAGGTGGGTCGCGTTCATGGGCTCCGCGACCATCTCCAACCGCATCGCCTCTCGAGCTGGCGACTCTGGCCCATGGCCACCGCCTCGGCACCGAACAAAACGAGGGAGAAACCTGACGGGCGTCGCCCACTCGACCAGTCCCACTGGCCGACCCACGAGCTAGAATCCCCAGCTGCCCGGGCCATTGACTGGATCAGCAGCGCGTGCATCCCAGAACACCTGCACATCGATTCCCGGCGCGCCGACGCGTTGCTCACGCTCCTCGGCCACTGCAACGAGCTCCCACCGCACGTACCTGTGCGGACATGCGGCAGCGATCTCGCGGATTGTTTCTCGAAGGTCCCGCACAAACTGGTCCGGGACGCATGGGTCTTCTACCAGAAGGTGCTCCACGAACGGGGCATCGCCTTTATCGCGGTCCCTCGGCGCAGGGGCACGGTCGGCTGCATCCACTACGAGCACCCACGCGCTTCCCCGCGCCACATCACCTTCCCGATCGCCGACCTCACTGCCGCCATCGAGCACAGCTTGGCCAACCTGTGGCTCGCCGTGGGTTGCCTGGTGGGTCGCGCCACGGACTGCCTAGCCATGGGGAGCACCAGGATGGCGTTCATATTCCGCGACGTCGCACTTCACGCGTCGTTTCATCCGGGGCCGCGGCCCCCGCAACCTTCTCGCGGACGTGTGCGTTACGCCGTGCTTTGCGGCATCGAGTGCCTGATCTTGGAGACCCGATACACGGACGATGACCTCTGCCTTTGGAAGGCGCCTGCCGGATGCGACCCGGAGATCCTGGACCGCCTTGCTGCTCAGGTATCCTCCTGGCCGGGTACTCGGCACCCGCTACAGTGTGACGAAGACGGAGGTGACACCTTCATGGGCGGCATTCGGGCCACCCTCGGCGCCGAGGGCAGAGTCTCCGTACGCCCCGCGTCCCTTCACCCCGGCGCCTACCACGACGAGTTCAATTACGCGCCCTACATGGATTACAGGAGCTACGCACCACCCAGCGTCAAGCGGGCCGTCGTGCTGGGCCTTGTCGACCGCGTCGAACGCTACACGCTCCCCTTGGACGGCAAAGCCCTCGCGCTCAGGGAGCTCCTCCAGCTACTTTCGACCTCCGGGCACTTCCCCATCGCAGTGATCAATAAATGGGCGACGCACAGACGCTACAGCACCCCAGGAGCATCCACATGGATACGCGAGGCCTGCACCGATCTATCGTGTTGAGCGTCCAGCTAGTATGAACCACAGGCTTTGCCAAAAACCCAAATACCCCTTAACATGAGAAGCCTCTCATCGGACAAAAAATGTGTATCTTACCGCTCCGTTGGGCGTGTCTTTGGGGGGTGGGGTTCTCTGCTTTTTGGCTGTGCCACCCTAGCCTCGGCTTCCCCCACCCGGGGGAATACTGTCGGCGGAACTTTGGTCACCTAACCTTCTGGCGATGAGGGCTGCCCGACGCTCTGCCCCCACGAGCAGATTTGCTTCTTTACCTTCCTCCTTCAGGTTTCCCTGCCAGGACCGTTGGAGGCCTCCCCCTGTTGGACAGGGGGGCATCGGCTCAGCATCGGCATGAATAGTCCGCAGCGGTTCGGAGGCCTCTGCCTCGAAGGGGCGGCGGGCGGACAAATCGTGCCCCCCCGCCAGAGCTGATAGAACAGTTCATGTGACCGGAAAACGTTTCCCCGTTTTCACGCGTCGACTTATAGAGCAATGGTCTGGACGGGCCTCGGTTTTTCGGCAGTGTGCGCAGCACGTTCCGGCAGAGCCCTGCTGGAACACGCTGGCTTCCACCCGTGCCGTGCTGTGTGGTGCGTGAGGCACAGCAAAGTATGTGCGCTGGACACCCGCTGGGGCTGCGCACTCTTTTCTGGGGCCTCCGTGGAGTGTTGCTTCTATGCCCTCTGCGGGGCTCGAGGTGCGGGACACGGCGGGAGCCAAGGGTAGGCGGGGGCCCAGGGGGGCGGCGAGGAAGGGGGGGGCCGGGGCAAGACGGGCCGAAGCAGCAGGACGGTGCAGAGGCCGAGAGGGGAAGGGGCAGGGCGAGACGGGCCGACGCGGGCGGGGCCAGGGAGGATGTAGGGAGGGAGGGTTGGGGAAGGGAGCGAGGAGGGAGGGGGGTACGCACCTCTTCGTCCTCCTGCTCCTCCTGCTCCTCCTGCTTCTCCTCATCCTCTTCCTCCTCCTGCTTCTCCTCCTCCTCCTCCTCCTCCTCCTCCTCCTCGTGCTTCTCCTCCTCCTCCTCCTCCTCCTCCACCTGCCCGACCTCAACATCATCCGTCGCGGAGCTCTCGCGCAGCCATCTATGGGCTGTCTTGGGGCCCTGTGGGCAAGCATTGGGATCCTCATGTGGCCCTCTTGTGGCCTCTTAAGGTAATCTTTGAACTACCGTTTATCTGCCAACTGCGTCAAAGACCTGGTCGGGCGGCCCACCAACTCCGCTGAGAGCATCGTATAGGTCCTGAGCTGGCTGGTTCTTGAACATGTCGACAATGGCATACACACTTTGAGATCCACACCGTTCGGCGTCGAGATCCGACACACCACTGTCAGCAACGCACTGTTTGCACTCGTCTCCTCCTAGAACAAAGCACTGATTACCTGGATTTTCACAGAAGTTCGAATACATGTAATAATCCAGGGTTCCTGAACTCAGAAGACTTGTCGCGAGCCAGACGGCAAGAAAGTACTGCTGGCTGTCACCTCCCCATACGCCAGCCCCCCATGGCCCAGTGCCGATTCGCTTCACAACTTTTGAAAAAGCCTGCTGAACCTCCTCTGGGTACGCATACTGTTCGAATGCCTGATACCATTTCGAAAGGTCCTCGTCAAGATGGCGACGTTGACTGTCACAAAAATTGTTCAGATTATCATGCCAATTACAATCCTGTCCGGAACGGCAAGATGAGCAGACGCTCTGGACCGCTACAAAGGCGCTGCTGTAGAGCTCTGCAGTCTTGCCCGCAACTACAACCTCCTCCGTCTCCTGCACTATGTCTTCGTTGAGCCAGTCTTTTTCCCTTATCCTCCCACAATTACCATGGGATATCGCCGATGCGGCATCCACGCGTTGTCCTGTGATATCGCCCATGTACCTCCGAGCACCCAGCAAGGTCCACGGGACCGGGAGCATGCCCATTTTATCTGCGGAAGCGTTGGGGTCCACAAAGAATGAAAAGGCCAGCACCTCTGGATAAAACTGGACCAAGGATTCGTCCTGGCTGTCGGCAGTGCTGCAAAGAGCTGCCCCTCCGCCCACGACGCCACCCGCGATGTCCGTCAGCGCCTGCCCAGGGTTCCCTGCCATGAAGTCTGCCAGGTCGCAGCCTGTGGCGTTACCTTCCCGCACGCAGAGGGCAGGCTCTCCCAGGGTGCTGTTCTGCAGCTTGCCGCGCCAGTCGTCCCCCTCTAGCAGGGTACGAGGCGTGGCCGCCACAAGCAGTCTCCCGTGCTCGCCAGAGCGCAGCTCGCGGGACAGGACGGCCAGCAGAGAGAGCAGGGAGTAGATCCATTCGCTGAATCCGCTGTCGGAGCAGCGGGCCAGCATCAGGGTGAGGCCATCCTCCTTGTCTATACGATTGCCCATTACCGCGTTAGCTACCAGAAAGGCAAGCTGACGCTGTGAGATGGCAACGGCACCCCCCTCGCGGGCGCTGTTGAAATCCAACACGGGCACGTCGTCACCTGTCTGGAATGGGTCGCTGCGCAGCAAATCCGTAGTGAAAGACGCAAGGTCCTCAAGCAACACTGGCGCCCCACGAAAGGCTGGCGGCGAAGACTCCCAATACTTTCTCACTGGCTCGTACACATCATCTGGAATCCCTGGCAGCGATGAGAAATCCTTCTCCACCTGTGTTGCAAGGGTTGTCGGGGCTGTCTCCCAGGGTCTCAAGTCTTTACGCCCACACTTGCCAAGGCTGGAGCACGTCAACCACATGCCGGGCTCAGCTGGCTTCGGCCTGTCAGGATGGGTGCTGGTGTTGGCGCTGGTGTTGGTGTTGTCGATGTTGTTGTTGTTGTTGTTGTTGGTGGTGGTGGTGGTAGTGGTGGTCGTGCCAGTGGCCGTGGTGGTAGTTGTCGGGAGCAGCATGCCTGGTGGCTGTGAAGACGACACTTCCTCATAGCCTTGTGCTTGCTGGTGCTGGCTCCCCGGCTCAGGCGTGCTGGTGCTGCAAAGGCCGCCCGAATGGGGTCCGAGCAGATGGGGCCCTAGGATGGCAGCGCATCGCCGATGAATCGGCGACGTCGGAACGAAGAAGATCGGGCTCCGAATCGAGCCCTGTCGCCGATTCATCGGCGATGCAGCGCGATCGTCCGACCTCATCTGGCCGATTCTGGGAACCCTGAATCGGCTACACGCAAGGGGCAAGTGAAGGGGCCCTGGGATACACAAATAAAGACACACAAATAATAGAATTCCCCATGTTCCCTAATATTTTCTGGGTTTTCGTCTTCGCCCCCACTTCCCATATTTTCCTATATTTTCTGGGGGATCGACGATCAATTGTGTCTGTGCTTCTTCCCCTCCTGAGCAAGAGTGGCCCCAGGCAGGAGTGACCCTTGGTGCGCGGCTGCCGGGGGGGCGCGGGGAGGCCAAACCGGAGCGCGCAAGCAGCTACTGTCGCACAGCATTCGGCCACGTGGGGGCCCCGGTGTGCCCGCACCCAGTGACAGGCCACTCCAGCGGAGGGCCACTGCTTCGCGTAGCCGAACGAGCCCGGAGATGCGAGCGCCTCGCTTTCGCGCCGCCTTCCGCCTGCCGTCCGCTGGCCGCTCCGCGGGCGGACCCGCCGCCGTTCTGCTCCCGCCATGCTCCGCCGAGGGCGCGCCGAGGGCGAGGCCCTCTCTGGAGCTCCGCAGCTGCTCGGGCCCGACTGGGGCGGCCCCGATGCTGGTGCCGGGCTCAGAGCCCAGCCCCCAGGGCCAGGCCCAGAGCCCGGCCCACTCCTGCGGCGGGCCCCGCTGCCAGGCCCAGAGCCCGGCCCCCGCCGCCGCGAGGGCCACGACCCCCAGGACCCAGCGGGCGCAGCAGCAGGCGCTGCAGCCGCTCCGCCGCTGCAGCGGCGCGGGCGGAGGGCACTCCGGGCTCTCCCTGCGCTCCAGCTCGACGTTCGGGCGCTCGATATAGCGGGGTGGGGGAATATACGCGCCCCTCAGAAGCGCGCCCCTCTCCGCCGGCACCTTCCAGGCCCCGCGGTGGCAGCTTCCAGGCCGTGTATAGGGCCCCTCTGGGGCCACTTCCCTGCAATCCTCGATCCCCCCCTTCGATTGCTCGGCTACACGGGAAAGAGCAACCTTGCATGCGCTGCTTTCGAGGGTCGAGGGTGAGGCCAAACACAAGCCATCCAACCCAACAGCCGGTGCTGGCGGGACCCCTGTGGGCCCGCACTCAAGGTCACTCCAGCGAAGGATGACTCTTACGCGTAGCCGATTGCTCCCCTCGGCTACACGCAGGAGTGACCCTAGGCAAGAGTGGCTTCTGGTGCGCTGCACTAGGGTACCGCGGAAGGGCGAATCTAAGCGCGCAGACAGTGCCGGGGGGACCCTGCGAGCCCGCACCGAAGGTCACTCTGGCGAAGGGCCACTCATACGCGTAGCCGAAATGCTCCCCCCCGCTACCAAGCGCCCACGATGGCCGGCCCCGGATCTGAGGCTGCTCGTGGCCGAGCCTCGGCCTCGTGCCGCAGCGGGCTGTCGCCCGGCGGTGGCTCGGCCTGCTCGACGTCCGGCTGCGCCGCGGCTGCGGCGCCCGAGTCTGCGCCGTGCTCGTCGTCTGGCGGCTGGGCGGGTGGCGACTCCTCGGGTGGGCTCAGGAGCGGGGCTGCGTCCACTTCAGACCTTGGGGGGGCCGGCTGCGCCACCAAAGACCGAATCTTGGAAGACCTGCAGCCCATCGTATCGCGGGCGCGGGCTGCCCGCGGCGTGGTAAAGGCTCACTTGAGCCGAAAACTGGTAAGGGCCATCTTGGAGCCATGCTGGGCCCACTTGGGCTCTCCTGGGACAATCTTGGAATCTCCCCTAGACATCACGAGGCTCTTGTGGGCCGCCTGGCGCCGTCCTGGGGCCCTTTGGGCCCGTCTTGGGATACTCCGGGAGCCCAGTCCGGCCCTCTCGGAGCTCTTTTAAGGCAGTCCTGGGCTACCTTGGGACCCTCTTGTGGTCCACACGAGGCTCTCTTGGATGCGCCTTAGCTACTTCGAGCCCTCTTGGAGCCATTATTCATCCAAAACTGCGGAAACCTGAGAATGCACCAATACATTCGAAAATCCATACGGGTGTGGTCCCTTGGGGGGGGGGCGGCGGGGGAGTGATGGGTGGGGGGGACGCGGGCTCAGGCACGCTTTCCTGGGGAAAGACGCATGGGCCGAGACGGCTATGCACGACAGGCTCGTGTCGTGACGACCTGCGCGTTGGTCTCCGACGCCGCGTGGATCATTCGGCCTTGAACGATCGCTGCGTTCCGGTATCGCAGATCCCTCGAGGCTGGCAGGTTCTGGGCCGCTGGTGGCGTTCATCTCCGAACGCCTTTGCCGGGGTCGCCGCAGCGTCCACACGGCACGAGCCTGCCGCACGGACGACTCGGCGTCAGAGTCGGAGCCTGGGCAGCTGGCGAACCCCACCTCACGGCTGAGGGGCTCGGCTCTCCTGCAGAAGAGGGCGCTGCTGCTGGCGACGGCGCTGGCACTGCAAAGAAGAACACCTGCGGGACCCTTGGCTGATCAGGCCCTTTGGGCTGGCTCCTAAGGAGGAAGAGGAGGAGGAGGAAGGAGGGGAGGAGGAAGGGGAGGAAGGGGAGGAGGAGGAGGAAGAGACGGAGGAGGAGGGAGGCGGAGCCTAACGGGTGGGTCGGGCGGGCTCACCCAACAAGCGGGTCGGACGCACGCGGCATAAAGCGGGCGGCCTTTCATGCAAGCGAGTTGGCAGGAAGGAGGAGGAGGGCGGAAGGGGAGGAGGGGAGAGAGAGAGAGGAGGAAATGGAGCAGCAGGAGGAGAGCAACTCCCCCTTGGGGGCAGGCGGGGTGCCGCAAGCCAAACTTGGGTCAATGACGAACCCTGGATCTCGTGGGGGCAGATGGCTCGCAGAGTGTATTCACCAGGCCGCCTTTCTCCTGCCTCCGTCCTCCCCTACCCTGCCCCATCCATCTCCCCGCCGCCCCCCTCCCAACCTAATCACGCTCCCCACCTCCTCCCATGCATCCTCCGCCGCATCCTCCTCCTCCTCCTCCTCCTCCTCCTCCTCCTCCTCCTCCTCCTCCTCCTCCTCATCCTCCTCCTCCTCATCATCATCATCATCATCATCATCAGCAGCAGCAGCAGCAGCACCAGCATCAGCATCAGCATCATCATCATCATCATCATCATCATCATCATCATCATCATCATCATCATCATCATCATCATCATCATCATCATCATCATCAGCATCATCATCATCATCATCATCGTCATCATCATCATCATCATCATAATCATCATCATCATCATCGTCATCATCATCATCATCAGCATCATCATCATCATCATCATCCTCATAATCATCATCATCATCATCATCATCATCATCATCATCATCATCATCATCATCATCCCCCTCACCGATCATCGGCAGCAACGGTACAAACGCCACCTCTATCATCTCCACTGACAGCTCCACCATGACCATCACCATCGCCATCCGATCATCATCGTAGTCATCAGAATCGGCAATGTTCTGATGGACATCCTCATGATCATCAAGATCATCATCAAAACCATTAGTCTCAGCCGACTCATCATGTTCATCGCCATCTGCGTAGTCATTGTTTGTCACTGTCGTGATCATCATCGCCACCCTTGTCGTCAACATGGCATCATAACCACCGTCAGCATGGCTATCACCATGATCGTCATCATCAGCAGCAGCATCATCGTCGTCGCTACACTCGCGAACATAATCATTGGCATCGCCACCAACACCACCACCGTCATCACCATCATCATCACCACCACAATCAACATCATCATTATCATCACTATGAAAATTGCCGTCATAATCACGATCATCGTCACTGATCATCACCATCACCGCTCATCATCCTCATCATCATCAGCAGCATCAGCAGCAGCATCAGCAGCAGCAGCATCAGTAGCATCGTCGTCATCATCAGCATCAGCACCCATCACCACAACCATCATCATCAGCATCATTATCAGCATCAGCACCAGCATCAGCATCATCATAACCATAACCATCACCACCACCATCACCGCCATCATCAGCATCAGCATCCTCATCATCATCACCACCATCCCCCTTCTCCTCCCCCTGCCTCTTCCTGCTCCTCCTCCTCCTCCTCGTCCTCCTCCTCCTCCTCGTCCTTCTTGTCCTCCTCCTCCTCCTCCTCGTCCTCCTCGTCCTCCTCCTCCTAATCCTCCTCCTCCCTCTCCTCCTCCTCCTCCTCCTCCTCCTCCTCCTCCTCCTCCCTGCTCTTCCCTCTTCCCTCTTTCCTCCCTCCTTTCTCCTCTCTCCTTCATCCTCCATCCTCCTCAATCCTCCTGCTTGCCGTTCTCTTCTTTCCTACACGATGAAATCATTCACCCTGGCCCAGTCGAGCCAACGCGCCCACGTCGGGTCCATTTCGAGGGTGGCTGCATTTCCGACCACTACCAGCCCGCAACGAGCGCGGGTGAGCATGACGTTGAGCCGCCGCCAGTCCGAAAGAAAGCCAACACCGAAATGATTGCTACGAACTGTGCTGACGATCATGATCTGCTTCTCGCGGCCTTGGAATCCATCAACCGTTTTTACCTCTACACCTGCAGCTGCCGCGCCCATTCGTCGTCGCAGCTCCCGCTGAAGGCTCCGCACCTGCGCCGAGTACGGCGAGACGATCCCCACATCGGATGGCGAGGTGGCGTGGGAACCCAAGAAGCCCGCCAGGACATCCGCCACGACTGACACCTCCACAGGATTGGTCCACGAGAAACCCACCTGGACCTCATCGCCTCTCGCGTCAACGATGGCGATACCGGCGTCCGGCCGCGGCCACGCGAAGCCAGCGGGCGGCGCTCGGCTCGAGCTGTCGACGCCGGTGGCGAGCAAGCCGCGGTAGAACTGCTGCGAGATGAACTCCGCGAGCTTTGGGTGCATGCGGTACTGCACCTTCAGCATGTGCGGGGTGAGCCCGCGGGCGACCAGCCGGCCGAAGAGCGACAGCGACAGGCCCTGCGCCCGCGGGTCCTGCGAAACGACGGTGGGGGGCAGCTGGCACTGGTCCCCGACAAGGACCAGCCGCGGGGCGCCGCACAGGGCCAGCGGCACGAGCACCGAGAGCTCCGTGGACTGCGCGGCCTCGTCGACCAGGATCGCCTCGGCGTCGAGCCCCATCCGCTGGACGAGTGCGCTGCCCGCCTTGCAGTTCGTCATGCAGATGACCTCCGCCGTCGAGAGTACCGCCTTCGAGCTGAAGCCCTGGGCCATCATCGACTCCAGCGACAGGGATCGGAGGTCGGGGTGGACTCCGTCAAGGTCCCCAACCCTGACAACATTCAGGCCCATGCGGTGCGCTTCCATCGCCATGTTGTCCACCGCGATGTTGCTGTCGGCCACTGCGAGCACTGGCGACAAGCACAAGACTTTTGTGAACAATTTCAGGAGATGAACGGAGACGTACGTTTTGCCCGTGCCAGGGGGACCCTGGATCAACGTCAACCGTCCTGTCAGGGCTGCCGTCAGAGCATCCAGCTGCGAATCATTCAGCTGCCGCTCAGGGTCCTGACAGGCGGCGTGCCCGTGGGTCAGTGCACGCTTCAATTCATGCAGTTTCGTGACATCCTGCTGGGGCACACTGGGGCCCGTCGATGCCTCGCGCTGCCAATCAGATTCGGTGGCCTGGCAAACCCGATACGCAGAGATGATTGTCTTCATCAGGCACAATACGTTTCCACGCCTCTGCCTGTTGCTCGTACTGATGGCCTTCGTCGCGGTCGTGCACAGAGCATCCAATTGCCTGGTATACGTCGACCAATGACGCACGCTATCAATACGCCACGATACCAGCATTGCCATACGATTTGACAGACGGTGTCTTGCCTCAGTTTCGATCTCTAAGGCACCGGTGGCCTTGTCGACAATAACTGTACCAATTGCATGGATGCCGTCATGGAGTGGGTCCGAGCGAGACAGCATCACAGTGTCGCCAGAACGCAGCCGGGTCTTTGAAAACCAATCAGCACCCGGTGGTGAGAAGAAACGAATGCGTTGCGACCCATTCTCATCAAAGTTCCGCATCGTGTGTATGCGAAGATCCCTCAAAGTAAGCCCGATGCTGTCCTGTTCCTCTAATGGCAATAACAAGCGCTCCTCAACAGCACGCATTGATGCAATGGCCTCCAAGTGCAATAATATCACGAAGTGGCTGAAGTACGAGAGAGCATCATCATCAACGTCGAAACCGTCGCTGTCTTTATCAAGGATGCGGACGTGCCCGCAGAGTCTTGCAGGGTTGACCTGATCGGGCTCAGACTTTATCAACAGCCCATCATCAGAACACCCTCTCGCGGAATCTGCGGATAATGCCAAGACCTTGCTCCCAACTGGACAAGCCATGTTCAGAGTGAGTCGTACAAAATCCTCCCGTACTGGTATCGTACCCATGAGCGTCACCAAAAGACTAGCAAACAAGTCCACAGACAAAACAACGCCCCGAGACACCACCTTCTGAACGAGTAGCTCGTAGTACTCCGGCACGGTATCAATCCTCCTCGCCACGCGCTCCAAAAACCGGACCGCTGCCCTGGCGGCCCTGGCCTCGCTCTCGGCTCTTCCGCCCCGCTTCTGGCTCACACGGCGCCTTCTTTGCCCTCGCGAGCTCTGCTGCTCACATCTCTTCTGTGCTCTGCCAGTTCGGGCCACCAGCAGCAAACATCTGCGCCCATCTGCGAGTCCCTTGACAAGCCGCGCATCAGATCGGCAAGAGTACACCATGCCGGCAATTGCACTTCTCAACAAAAGAAAATACGATACATCAATTTGCCCCGCAGGCGTCTTCCTCACCGCTGGCATTGGCCCGTGGCAGCGCCATAGAAAAGGTCCTCCAATTCGCCGAGCAGGCGACGCACGAAGCTCGTCTTGACGGAATGCTTGACCTGCTCTGCCAGTGTGAGCCCTGGCCATAGCCATGCCTGAGCGAAAATAGTTGGCGGCTCAGAGAGGACGAAGCAATCACGACGACGAATTCTTCATGAGCTGGAACAGCGAGCAAAAACGGCTTGAGCCAAAATGACTACGGACCTCAATCCTCCTGCTTGCGAAAAGGAGGAGGGTCAGGAACACCCAGGGGCAACTGGGCCAAGAAGGAGCAGCCTCAACAGCGTGTTCCTAAGTGCAGAGACCATGCGCCCCAGCGCAAGGGCATGCCATCATGCGATGTCCCCGCAAGTAACCTCAGTCAGCATCGAATCGGGAAATCGGATCGAATCGTAACGAGCATCGGATCGGGCTGATCGGCACAGAGTCGGAATCGAATCGAATCGGCCGCGCCAGGATGCACAACAGCGCTATACAGGAATCGGGCCGCACCAAATCGTCGGAATATCGGAATCGAATCTGATTGGGCCGGTCGGAATCGATATCGAATCGGATCGATTGGGTTAAAATGGAACCTCTGTGTGTACGTGCTGCGCGCTACCGTGCCCGAGACATCATTGCTCGGGGAGGACGAAGCCGCCTGGGCGCTCGCCAGGGCCTGGCAACAGACGAGGAAAAGGGCCTCTCCGCGCAAGGCAGGGCGGGGTGCTACCAGCACCCAAGCGTGCTCGCCGCCGACGTTCGAAGACCACCCCACACTCTGAGACCCCGATCCGGGGCCTGAGCTACAGCGTACGCCGGTCCCGAAAGAGGGCTGGGCCTCATGGATCAGTCGCTCGCGCCTCGCTGCTGAAGATCAGCCAATGCTTAGTGCCACGGCCGGGCGGGTTGGAGCGGCGGAGCAAGACTGCGACTGGCGAGCCACAGGCACAGAGCTGCATGTGATACCTGCGTCATCCTCCTCCTCCTCCTCCTCCTCATCATCATCATCATCGACCTCCTCTTCCTCCTCCTCTTCCATCATCATCATCATCATCATCATCATCATCATCATCATCATCATCATCATCATCATCATCATCATCATCATCATCATCATCATCATCATCATCATCATCATCATCATCATCATCATCATCATCATCATCATCATCATCATCATCATCATCATCATCATCATCATCATCAGCATCAGCATCAGCATCAGCATCAGCATCATCATCATCATCTTCTTCTTCTTCATCATCATCACCATCACCATCACCATCGTCATTATCATCATCAACATGATCACCACCACCACCATCATCATCATCAGATCATCATCACCATCAACAACAGCATCATCAGCAGCATCGTCAACAGCAGCATCATCATCAGCATCATCATCATCCTCATCGTCATCATCATCACCATCATCACCATCACCATCGTCATTCACATTGTCACCATCATCACCACCACCACCATCATCATCATCATATCATCAGCACCATCAACAACAGCATCATCATCAGCAACATCATCACCGTCAGCATCAGCATCATCATCATCATCATCACCATCACCATCACCATCGTCACTATCATCATCACCATCATCACCACCACCATCATCATCATCATCAGATCATCAGCACCATCAACAACAGCATCATCATCAGCAGCATAATCACCGTCAGCAGCATCATCATCATAATCGTCATCGTCACCACCATCGTCACCATCGCCATCATCACCATCGTCATTATCATTATCACCATCATCACCACCACCATCATCATCAGATAATCATAACAACCAACAACAGCATCATCATAATCAGCAACATCATCGCCGTCAGCATCATCATCATCAGCATCACCATCATCACCATCACAATCACCATCACCATCACCATCGTCAATATCATGATCACCATGATCACCACCACCACAACCACCATCATCACCGTGCCATCATCCCCATCAACAACAGCATCATCAGCAGCATCATCACCGTAAGAATCATCATCAATATCATCAGCAGCATCGTCATCATCGTCATCATCGTCATCATCATCATTACCATCATAATGATCATCACCATCACCATCACCGTTATCATACTGATTGTTATTACCATCACCATCTTCACCGTCGTCATACTCACCATCACCAAAACCAAAACCAAAACCAACACCATCACCATCAACATCATCGTATCCATCATCCCTCGTGCTCGAATTCTTCCTCACCATCAACCTCATCACCAGCACAAAATGTCCTCACGGTCATCCTCCTCCCCTGGACCCTCCTCCTCCTCCTCGTCCTCCTCCCCCTACAGATTCGCAGCGCCTCCAGGCCTCCTCCGAACCGTGGGCCGTCGTGGAGCATCCTGGGCCCTCCTGGGCCCTCTGGGGGGGAGGGAGGCGGAGCGCACGCGGCTCCTGGAGCCTGGTGAGCCTCCGCCGCATGGTTGGCAGGTGAGACCAGTCCCTCTCGAGATAGCGAGCGCAAGGAGGGGGGAAACCCACACCAGAGCAAGGACGAGGGGGCGATGCAGGCTTGGGTTGGGCTTTTCCTCCACGGGGGCATCCCTAGCCAAACCAACCAAGCCCTGGGAAGCTCCCTGCTTTCTTGGTTTGGCTGGGGCTCCCTGTCCCTAGTATTGCTACTGCGGGGGACCCGCGAAGGAGGAGGAGGAGGTTGGTCGGTCGGCGCTTGCCGTTTGATCCCAATCGTGCCGGTAGGCAGACATACAATCGGGAACGTTTGCGAAGTAAGTCAGCGTATCGCGACGGCGGACCCTGCGACCCGCTATGCCCAGCAAGCGGATAGCGTCTCGCTCGGCTTCGTGGGGCGGGAGGCTGGGAAAGGCTCGGGACGGTGAGGCTCGGAGACTGGGACGTGGGTAGCGTGTCGCGCCGAAGCGTGGTGGGCCAGAACCGGCGCAGCGATACGCTATGCAAAAACTCCCGATAGTTAGGTGATTCAGCGTGCGCGACGATCGCATTCTCGCGACCTCGCGATGTCAGATACTGGCGGAGGAAGAGGAGGAGGAGGAGGAGGAGGAGGAGGAGGAGGAAGAGGAGGAGGAGGAGGGGGGGGAGGAGGAGGGGGGGGAGGATGGGGGTGCCCCTGAAGATTGCCCGGCAGTGGACCCCGGGGCAGAACTGGGTCTCGGGGCCGGCAAGATGTGGCAACTGCATACCTGCAATCGTGGGAAGTCGACGAGGAGAAGGAGAAGGGGTAGGATTGCTCGGAGGATTGCTCCGCTGCGGCATCACTATGTTTCGATGCTGTCCCTGTTCGCTCGCGCGCGTGTCATTCGCATCACGAGCCACATGAAGCAAATCGCGAAGCTGATCCATACGACCAATCATCGAGGGCAAAGAGAAGGGGGAGGAGGAGGGGGAAGAGGAGGAAAGGAGACCCGAGCACAGCAGGACCTTCAGCCTGCAGTGGTACATGGCCACGGCCTCGCTGATGTCGAGCTTGGACAGCTGCGACCTCCTGGCTGCTCGAGCCGCTCGAGGGGCCTTCGCAGTCGTCTTGGTCCTCGTCGTCGTCCGCCTCCTCCTCCCCCTCCCCTCCTCCTCCCCCTCCGCCGCCCTCCTCTCCCCTCCGCCTCCGTCCCCCAGCTACCTCCTCATCCTCCATCCTCCCTCCTCCCTCCTCCAGCTGCAGTCCCGGCCCGAGGCTTTGGGTGCAGGTTCCAGGAACCTGCAAGCCTCTCGGGACTGCCGCTAGACGCGCCGACCCGCCATTCCAGCGTCTGGACGGCCGTGCCCCAGCAGGGGACGATCGCCACCACGCGCCGCACGGGCAAGCCAGCGTGGCACCGCCGCCTGAGAGCACAGAGGGGCATCGCCAGAGCGTTCCTCCGCATCTCAGCACTCCGACAAACTGCTCGCCCAACAGCACAGCTCGCTGGCGCAGTCCAGCATCAGCCAGCCAGCAGGTCGTCCTCAGACAAAATGTTGGTCATACAGCAAGTGCCAGAGGACGAACATATACTCCAGCAAGAAGTGCAGATTCTGCGTGCCAGAGCCAGACAACAACCAAGACAGTCTCCCAGACGAAGTCGACTCGACGCCGCCGTGGATATACCAGTGTCGCACGATAAAGGCACAGTGGTCCACGAGCTGGACTCACCAAGGGCAATGGTGGCAAGAAGATACAGCAGGAGGACCGCGCCCGAGGCGGGCTGGGTCAGCGCATGCTCCCGACAGGAAGTCGAAGGACCAGCTCACGCTACCACTGCCTCATCCAGCTCAACTGGAGGAAGCCATGAGGCATCGATTATGATTGCCACTGCCCACGTCGAAGAAAGGTACCATTGCTCATCGAGACCAGTTGAAGATCAGCCTCGACGGACTGGAGAAGCAGATCAACAGCGCCTACCAGATAGGCCAAAGATCGGCTCGCATCGCGGAGCTAGAGTGGGACTTTGCAGTCACCTTGTACATGATCATGTACGCCAGGGATCCGAAGGCCCGCACGGAGCAGCAGAAAGCACATGTGGACAGAATCAGGAAGCGTTTGAGCGGTGCACAGAGAGCGGAGGACCAGGCACTTGACGAGCACAAGAAAGCGGCCACCCTCACGCAGGCGCTCTTCGAGGATGTGCAGAAGGCAGAGGACCTGCTTGCTCACTTCGAACGTCTCGAAGAAGATGAAGAAGGAGAAGACGTTATCATGGATGACAAACAAGGCCAGGAGCAAGAAATACCACACACGCCGAAGGCAGCTCCCACACCGGCCAATTCACCGCCCATGGATGCCAAACAGAGTTCAGGTCAGACGGCAACCACAGCAGCGTGCATAGCAGCCATGCAAGCTGCCAACATCGACCTGGCAGCCCAGGTCAGCGGCCTCGCCACCCAGATGGCGACCATCCAGCAGGCCCTCGCAGCGGTCATCAACAACGCAGCGCTAGCACAGCCAGCAGGGCAGGGCCAGGCACCGGCACCAGCGCCAGCGAGCCAACAGGCCCACGCAGGCGCGGCTCCAGCACAGCTGGCAGCAGTGCCGTTGCCATGGCCGCCCCACCCAGCACAAGGAGAAGCAGCAGCACCAGGAGACCATGCAGATGCGCCAGCAGATGGGGCGGTGACAACGCCCAGACCAGGAAGGGCCGCATCGGCATCAGCCAAGCCAGCAGACCCCAAGATCACCCCTAAGAAGATCAACATGAGGATCGCGGTGGATAAGACAGCCAGCAAGCGTGTCCCAGGGAGCGTCCTCAAGGTGGCCTTCGACAAGGGCAGCGCCCGCAGGGCAGCAGCCGAGGAGGCCAAATTCGCCACCGACGATGACGACACCGACGAGGGCATGGGGACGAGCCCAGCCCACAGACGGCCCGCCAGGGCCAAGAAGATGAGTTA